ATATTTATATGTATACATTTCTGATATTTTATATTCTGCTTTGGGTGACTAACAGAGGCTGGGTGTAATTAGCATTTTCAATGTCGTGCACGTTGACCTTGCCCTCTGGGACCTTGCAGAAAATTCTGAGAAAGCTGAAATTCTTGTGGAATGGGAAGTTTTCAGGATCCCAGGCTTTGTGAGACTTAGGGTTTGATGGCAGTCTGTGGTGGGATGTTCTTTCTGTGGCTGCACTTGTGAGCAAAGCCTTTAATTTTCTATTTCCTCCCCTGCTCCCAGACCGAAGACCCGACCATGGAGAGGCCCTACACCTTTAAGGATTTCCTCCTCCGGCCCAGAAGGTGAGGGGGGAGAAGGCCCTGCTGTGCTTCAGAAGAAGAAACCCTGCTGGATCTTTTTAATTTGGGGGGTTGTCAAACGAGATATTAAAAGGGGACTCCTCGTCTTGCAGCCACAAGTCCCGTGTGAAGGGTTTCCTGAGGCTGAAGATGGCCTACATGCCCAAAAACGGGGGCCAGGAGGAGGAAAACAGCGACCAGAGGGACGACCCTGAGGTAAGACTGAACACTCCAGAGGTTCAAGGGCAGCTGTGGCAGCAGCTGGAGCTTGGAGGGTTGGTTGGAGCTCGAAGGAGGGTTTTTTTTCCTCTCCCTTCCTCCCTCAGCACGGCTGGGACGTGGTCGATCCCGGCGACGCCGCGTCGCAGAGGCAGGAGGAGCTGCCGCCCCCTCCGCTGCCCCCGGGGTGGGAAGAGAAGGTGGACAACCTGGGCAGGACCTACTACGTCAACCACAACAACAGGACCACCCAGTGGCACCGGCCCAGCCTCATGTGAGCGGCACGGAGGGCTCCTGGGCACCTGCGGGCAAAAAGTCTTGGGCTTGAGGGGACAGGGAGATCCTGGGGAGGGCCAGGGTGGGAGGGAAAGCAGAATATGGGGAGACAGAGGTGGAATTTTTCAGGAATTTGGCAGGAATAAATGACTTTTTTCTGTAGAAAGTCAACTCTGTTAAGTTTTGGCGAGGTCGAACGGATGAGCTTGGAGGAGATCCTGGTTGTTCCTCAGCGTCCAGGCTGCATTCCCTGGATGTGCTGACAGCCCTGCAAGCTGTCAGGACTGGCTTTAGGAATAACTGGCCCCTAAACCACGGCCAAGGAAGTGCTGGGTTCTCCAGCCTGACAGAATAATGAGTTTTATCATCAGAAGGTTTTGAAGGCCAAAGTGGGGGTTTGGTTTAATTGGGGTTCTTTTGGTGTTCTTTTCTTGGTTCCCACCTTGCAGCGATGTGGGGTCGGACTCTGAGAACAACCTGAGGCAGATCAACCAGGAGGCCGCTCACCGGCGGTTCCGCTCGCGGCGCCACATCAGCGAGGACCTGGAGCCGGAGCCCGGCGAGAGCGGGGACGTCCCCGAGGTGGGCGCCCAACCTCATCTGCTCCAGCACAAAAGGCTCTGTATGAACCCTTAATTCCATTTATTCTGTTTTGGCAGCCTTGGGAAACCATCTCCGAGGAGGCAGGTGCCGGTGGGGACTCCCTGAGCTTGGCACTGCCACCCCCTCCCGCGTCGCCGGGGTCCCGGCCCAGCCCTCAGGAGCTGTCGGAGGAGCTGAGCAGGAGGCTCCAGGTCACTCCTGATGCCAACGGGGAGCAACTCAGCTCTTTGATTGTATGTAGGGGGCTGCCCTTCCCCTCAACACCAGCACAGGGGGTTGTGGTTAATTTAAAGACACCTTTTTTTTTGGTTTCTCTGCCAGCAAAGAGAACCCTCTTCCCGGCTGAGGTCGTGCAGCGTCACGGACGCGGTGGCTGAGCAGTCTCAGTTAGCCCTGGTAAGGCCAAAAAGCTCCCTTCCCCAACCAGGGGTGCTCATGGGCTGACTGCCAAAGAATCATTTTCCAAAAAATTCTGCTTTTCTCAGGGGGTTTTTTTAGTGAAATGTGTCGCCTGTGAGTGTGCAAGGAGCAAACCTGGGCCTAATCTTTCCCAAAATACTGAGTTTAGCACTGCTCTAAAACATCACCTGACCTGATCTTAACCAGATTTAATCCTTCTTGGGACAACTAAGTCCATCCTTCCTTCCTGAATGCAGCACTTTGAGATTCTGCCTTGGTTACTGGTGGCTTTTCTTTCTGCTGTTCCCTTAAACATTTTATCCACCTGATCACTCTCTCTTAATAAATATGATTGTGATTTCCTTGCTCCTAAAACCCCGTGGCCTCCCTCAGTAAATCTGTGTCCCCTTCATTATCATTTAACAGCAGAGTGGCCCCTCTAGGAGAGCTCGTTCTTCAACTCTCACGGGGGGAGAGGAGCCCACGGTAATAAAGCTCTTTCTCAAGCACTTTCTCTCTGAATAATCAAGTTATCCCCCTCCCAGACAATTTGTTTCAGGGGGAAAAAAACTGAATTTAGAGGTGGTGGGTTTGCTGTTTGTGTCTGGGATAGAAATCCAGCAGAAAAGGTGTTCTCCTTGTTGCCTGCCAGCTCAGGTGGGAAAAGAGCCCTTGGGTCTTTAGGGGAGAAAGAAATCCCTCTCAGAGCTTGTATTTTAATCTCCTCATTCCTTAATTTTCCATTCTCTGGACTGCAGGGTTATCTGATAAAAGGGGAAAAAAAAAACCCCAAAAATAAAAATCCACCTTTCCGAGCCAAACTCATTAAACCCCGGAGTTTTAAAAAGTTTGAGGGCTGTTTGCTGAGCGAGGTACCTGAATCCGGGTCAGGCTGCTCCAAAGGATCTCTTCTTGGGAGAAGAAAAAAAAAAATAACCTGACCCAAAGAGCTTGTCTTGGATGAAATCAGAAATGGTTGGGGGGATTAGGAAGGATGCGAGTTAAAAAGTTGCTTTTTTTGAAAGATGCCGGACTTTGAGATGTTTTGGGCTGTTATAAAATAGTGATATGAGTGGTCAGGTGATGTAAAATAAGCAGAGAGTGGTTTCTTGCCCCAGCAGCCCTCCGTGGCCTACGTGCACACCACCCCCGGGCTGCCCTCGGGCTGGGAGGAGCGGAAGGACGCCAAGGGCAGGACCTACTACGTCAACCACAACAACCGCACCACGACGTGGACCCGGCCCATCGTGCAGGTACAGGGCAGAGCCTCCAGCTTGGGGTTAGCTTCAGAGTTCAGACAGCTTCCAGAACCCCTGGAATTTGAAGGGAAAAAAATCTTGAGCGTTGTCGCGACGGCGACGCAGGCGAGTCGTGAAAAAAAATCGTGGTGGCGGAGATGGTTCTTCTTTGGAGTGTTTTAAGGCACACATCAAGCTAAGAAGGTTTTTAGAGTGCCCTGGCATTGTCTGTGCCCTCTGTGACTCGGCTCTGCCCCCCTCAGCTCGCCGAGGTACGGCGATGGTGCCCCGGGCGCAGCAGCAGCAGCAACCGAACCTCGAGCGAGACCGCAGATTCCGGGCGGCCCGCAGCCTCAGCTCGCCCACCGTCACCCTGTCGGCCCCCCTGGAGGTGAGGACGCCCCTGCAGCCCTGGTGGCCTTCCCAAAGGGTGTGGGATTGCTTTGGTTAAGACTCAGCCCCACTGAGCCAGTTCACGTTTCTTTGGGTTGGTTTTGGTGAGTTTTGGTGAGTTTTGGTGAGTTTTGGTGTTTGGCCGCTCCGCAGGGCATGAAGGACTCCCCGGTGCGCCGGGCGGTGAAGGACACCCTCTCCAACCCCCAGAGCCCTCAGCCATCCCCCTACAACTCCCCCAAGCCCCAGCACAAAGGGGCCCAGAGCTTCCTGCCCCCGGGCTGGGAGATGCGCATCGCCCCCAACGGCCGCCCCTTCTTCATCGACCACAACACCAAGACCACCACCTGGGTAAGGGCTGCCCACCCTGCTCTGAACTGCTGCTGCTGCCTGTTCTCCTGCCTGCACACACCCCCCCCCCCTCAGAGCCAAAAAGGAGTTGGTAGGTCTGCCTTGACCTCTGTGGGATTTTGGGTTCCAGGAGGATCCGCGGCTGAAGTTCCCGGTGCATCTGAGATCCAAAGCGTCCCTGAACCCCAATGACCTGGGCCCTCTTCCTGTAAGTGACCCTCCACCCGCTGTGCCAGGCTCTCCTCTGCCCCTGGCACGGCCACTGGGGCCTTGCTGGGAGCTGGGACCTCCCTGGGGCCACCCCGGGGCGCTCGGAAAACTCCCGGGCTCTTCCCGTGCTCCCTGAGCTTCCTGGGCCTTGGTGGCCTCTCTGCTTTCTGCTGATCACTTTAAACTGCTGCATCCTTCATGGCAGAGAGTGAGGTGGGAAAACAGCTCTCCCCTCAGTGAAACAACCTGGCTTTGAGTGAGGAACGACCACAGAATTTCACAGGAGTTTCTCCAAAAAAAAAAAAAGAGATGGCGGGGAAATAATTCCTCCTCTGGATTTGGTGGAAGCCCAGCTCTGAGCGTTGCCTGCGCTTCTGCCTTCGTGGCATTTGGGTTTCCTGCCCTCCCAGACGTCTCTGACGGCTCCAGGTGACACTTATTTATTTCTTTTGTCTTTTGTTGGTTTTTGTTTCCCCTTTTTCCAGCCCGGCTGGGAGGAAAGAATCCACCTGGACGGGAGGACCTTCTACATCGACCACAGTAAGTGAAGCACTCGGGCCCCAGAGCGGCGAAAAGGGAGCTCCCAAGCCTTGAAGTGAAAGCTCTGTGGTTTTTTACTCCTCTTCATTTAGGAAGCCAGGTGTTGATTTGTGGAGACATTGAGCCCAGAGACTTAGTGCCCTCCTACGGTACTGTACCCCTCCCTCTGGCACCCTCGCTTTGGTTGGCTCATCAGTTGTCCCTCTCTGACTTGTGAAGCATCAACATCTCCTCTCTCTGTGGGTCCTTTCGTTCTCGTCGATATTTCGGACTCGTCGTCGTCGTTTTTTGTGGCTTTTTTTTACTTTCAGTGAACACAAAGCCCCCCGCTAGGAATAGAAAATAAGATGAGAAAAGGTGGAGCCACTGGCACTGAGGAGTCCTTTTTTCCCTCTGCTCTCAGCAGTGCTGCTTCTGATCTTATTTCCTATTTGGGAGCATGTCCAACTGCCAGCAGCCCAGTCCTGTTAGTGGAGTTCTGGTGTTCAGTGATGTTTCGTTGTAGAGCATCTCAGAGCTGCTGTGTGAGTTTTGTTGGTGTTTGAAGACAAAGACCCAAAGCTGGGTCTTCTTCTGCCTTTTTTTTTGGGGTTGTTTTGTTTTTTTTTAAACTCCCAGACTCATAAATAATGAGATATTTCTTCCCAGAGGGTACAGAGAGGTTAAAAACAGAGTCAGGTTTGTCCCTCAGCCCGAGTAACAGCCTCCCAAGCTCACCTCTAATTAAGTCATAATTAAAGGGCTAAAATTAAAGCTAAGTTACTGGTGCAGCAGAGGGTTACTGGTACAACAGAGAGGTGTTACTGGTGCAGGAGAGGGTGTTACTGGTGCAGCAGACTGGGGGTGACTGGCAGGGGCGACTGGCAGGGGCGACTGGCACCTCTCAGGGTGGCTCCTGAAACCTTCTCCTTTCATCAGGACAAATGTCATTCCCTCCAAATTTGCAAGTCTGACGTTTTGGGGCTGTTTTTCCAAACACAGTAGCAGGGAGAAGAATCCCACAGGAATTCCCAGCGTGGCACCGGAGAGGTCACAAAATCCTTTTTTGTTTTTTTTTTGTTGTTGTTGTTGTTGTTTGCAGATAATAAAATCACCCAGTGGGAGGACCCCAGGCTGCAGAACCCGGCCATCACCGGCCCAGTAAGTGCTGCTGTGGGATTTGCCAGGGGAAAAATCAAAATCCAGGGGGATTTGACTGAGCTGAGGCATTTTGGGGCGTTTCTGCCCAATAAAAAGCTGCTCCCACTGCGATTCAAACTGGAGGAAAAGGACCAAAATTGGGCCTGTTCGTAAACAGGTGAACAAAGATTTTAAAACATCGACCTCAGGGAAAAACCAAAATATTTTCCTTCAGTGGCAAGTTTTCCAAACCTCAAAGACCGATGGAGCTTTTTGTGATTATCGGAGTGAAACGATGGCATTTTGGGGGGTTCTGAAATTCCTCCTGGTGCAGGGTGGGCCGTGTGGGTGGCAGGGCTGAATGGTTTGGGCTCTCCAAGTTGCTGGGCAGGTGGAATAACGTGTCCTCCTCCCGCCAGGCCGTTCCCTACTCCCGGGAGTTCAAGCAGAAATACGATTATTTCCGGAAGAAGCTGAAGAAACCCGTGAGTAGATTTGGGGAGGGGAGACACCTCCCAGCCTTGCTCAGTCGTCCTGCTGGAGCAGGAATTAAAACCACGAAGAAAAGTTTGATTTGGTTGAATTTCTCACCAAAAAAAAACCCCTTTTTTAAGTCTTCCACGCTCGTGTTTGCCCTTAAAATGGAGCTTGGGGGGATCAAAAAACCTCTGGTTTTTGTCATTAGCACTTTGCCCATGAGTTCCTTCTTGAGCCTCATCTAATCTTCCTTCTTCCAGGCTGACATCCCCAACAGATTCGAGATGAAGCTGCACAGGAACAACATTTTTGAGGAGTCCTATCGAAGGATCATGTCTGTGAAGAGGCCTGACGTCCTCAAAGCCAGGCTCTGGATCGAATTCGAGTCGGAAAAAGGCCTGGACTACGGGGGTGTGGCCAGAGAGTGGTTTTTCCTCTTGTCCAAGGAGATGTTTAACCCTTACTACGGTCTCTTTGAATACTCAGCAACGTAAGTATCATTCAATCTTTCGTATAAGAGGCAGAGTTGCCCTGGGCAGGGTCACCCCCTCCTCCCCAGGGGGTCCTGGGCAGCCCCACCACCCCCTTCCCTGCCCTCAGAGAGCCTCCCAAGCCCAGAAAACATTCCCAGGGCTTGGGGAAGGGGAGCGGGGTTGGGTTTGCAGGGCTGGGTGGCTTTGGGGGTGCCAGCAGCAGGCCCAGCCTGGCCTGGGAGTGTTCAACGGGCTGGGAAGGGGACGTGCAGCAGGATTTGGGATCTGGGATGCGGGGTTTGGGATCTCCTTGCCCGAGCCCGACTCGTTTGTCGCCGTATCTGAGCGCCTGCTGATTTGCCAGACTTGGTTCTTTAGCTGTTTTTTTGTTTTTGTTTTTTTTTTCTTTCCCTCCCCCCCTCCCTCCTTTTCCCCCCTCCAAAAAAAGGGACAACTACACACTTCAGATTAATCCTAATTCAGGTCTCTGTAACGAAGACCACCTGTCCTACTTCACCTTCATCGGCCGGGTGGCCGGGCTGGCCGTGTACCACGGGAAGCTGCTGGATGGTGAGTTGCCAGCCTGCTTTTCTGGCAGAGGGGGGGATTTTAAATGGCATTTTAAATGGATTTTAATGGGATCAAGCAGCTGGACCTTTGAGGAAGCTGCAGAAGCAGGTGATGCTCCTCTGTGTCTCCTTCCAGGCTTCTTCATCAGACCTTTCTACAAGATGATGCTGGGCAAGCCAATCACTCTGAAAGACATGGAATCAGTGGTAAGACAAATTTAACCCCTGCCAGTCCTCTGGGCTTCTGGAATTGTGCCCCGATGGGCCCCTTTTCAAACCCTGTTCCATCAACTCTGCCCCCAGGACAGCGAATATTACAACTCCCTGAAGTGGATCCTGGAAAACGACCCCACAGAGCTGGACCTCATGTTCTGCATCGATGAGGAGAACTTTGGGCAGGTAGGGGAGAGGTTCTTTCCACCTCTGGAAAGTTTTGCCTCTTAGACCCGGATTCTGGCTCCGGGTCCGACCGGGGTTGGGACCACGGGGCCTTCTTTCTTTTGAGAAGTGACTCCAGCATTTCAAAGCAGGCCCAAAATGCTCACTGCCTCTTTCCTGGAGGGTCTAACATAAAGTTAAAAGTTCCAGGGAGAATTTTGAAGCCACAGGGTGGGCAAGTTTGAATTGGTGATTGAGCTCCATTGGTGATTTAACTCCAAATTGTTGCCGGTTTTCCCCCTTCTGCTGCCACCAGTTTGTTCCCTGCCTCCAAAGTGTAAATCCCATTGGCTGAGAATTCCCTGCCCGTAAAAATGCTGCTCAGGGGGCCTCAAATAACAGAGTTTTTGTGGGGTTTTTTTGGGCCTTTTGGAAACACAGACATATCAAGTGGACCTGAAGCCCAACGGCTCGGAAATCATGGTGACCAACGAGAACAAGAGGGAGTACATTGAGTGAGTATTCCCATTTTTGGGTTGTTTATTTTCCCCCCAAAATTCCACCAGTCTCAGCTGATCAACTGGAACAACTGAAGTTGGCAGTGAGGAAGTGAAATCTCTGACCTCTTGGGCTGAGTGTGGGTTTTCTTTCTCTCTCCACAGCCTGGTCATCCAGTGGAGGTTTGTCAACAGGGTGCAGAAGCAAATGAATGCCTTTCTGGAGGTGAGAGGCTCTTTGGAGCTGCCTGCTCTCCCAAAAATAAAGCAGATTTCCTCCCCCAAGGGGGTCTGTGTGAAGGGAGCTTGGCTGGGAATGCCAACGGGATGGAATTAGGATTTTAACTTGGCTTCTCTTCTTCCTAGGGGTTCACAGAACTGCTTCCCATCGACCTGATTAAGATTTTTGATGAGAATGAGCTGGAGGTGAGTGGCTTTGGTGCCCACGCCGGTCTGGGCTCCTCGGTCGCCCGGAGACAAAGCTCCGAGTGGGAAATTCGGCAGCTTCTCCCTAATTAATCAATCTTTTGGTGCCCTCCAAAGAGCTGCCCTCGGGGGAGGTGGTTTGGGGGGTGCCTGTGCAGGGCCACAGCCCCTCCCTGACCCCCCCAGTGCTTCCCCTTCCCCCCAGCTCCTGATGTGCGGCCTCGGCGACGTCGACGTCAACGACTGGCGCCAGCACACCATCTACAAAAATGGCTACTGCCCCAATCACCCCGTCATCCAGTGGTTCTGGAAGGTAAGCCTGGCTCTCCCCCCCTCTGAAAAACGAGGGTTGCAATCGGTTTTCTTCTCGGGGAAAAACCTCCGAGAACGAAGGAGGGGAGGGCGTTGTGCCGGAGGGAAGCGTCCTGTTCCCACCTCTCCCAGCCCAGGGATGGGGGCCTGCTGTGTCCCCAGGGTTGTCTTGGGTTGTCTTGTCTTCTTTCTGCTGCCCTGATGGTGTGTGTGTGTGTTTGCCCCCAGGCCGTCCTGCTGATGGACGCCGAGAAGCGGATCCGGCTCCTGCAGTTTGTCACCGGGACGTCTCGAGTGCCTATGAACGGATTTGCTGAACTTTACGGTGAGGCAAAGGCCAGAAATCCACACCCCCCCCCCTTCAGCACTCTCGTTTCTTTGGCACTGAAACAACCTTGGAGAGAAATAACCACGTTTTTGTTGCTTTAATTGTGTGGAAAATCCAGCCCCGACGCTTGGCGTTAAAAATAACATTTAGGTGGGTTTTGGAGCGTCCAGCAATTCCTGTTTCACGTGTTTTTTTTGTCTTTTCCCCCAGGTTCAAATGGTCCTCAGCTGTTTACAATAGAGCAGTGGGGAAGTCCCGACAAGCTGCCCCGAGCTCACACCTGGTAAGTCACCGGAGCAGCCCGGAGAAACCACGGGCTCTTGCCAAAGATGAAATCCAGCACGGAGGGGGTTCTCTTGGCTGCTTTTTTTCCCCCTTTCCTGAGCGGTTTTTCCCGCTTTTTGCCCCGTCCCTTCCAGCTTTAACCGCCTGGATTTACCTCTGTACGACTCGTTCGAGGACCTGCGGGAGAAGCTCCTCATGGCCGTGGAGAACGCCCAGGGCTTCGAAGGGGTGGATTAGCTGGTCCTCTGGGCCCCTTCCGAGCTCATTCTGCTGCCCCCTGGCCCTGCCCGGGGGAGGGGGAGTGAAAAAAAAACCCCCCAGGGACTGTTTGGGGAGCGGCACCCGAGCCCCCCGGGTTGGGGACCGTGCCAACAAGGATCACATTTCAGCGGGACTTCACTCTATTTATGTCGTGCCTCCGCAAGGCAAAAGCCCTCAATAAATATTTTACATCCTTTCTAATGGCAA